TTAAAAACCCCGCTACTGTCAATAGTCAATATTTATTTGTCAATATAAAATTATACCATTATATGTTATGGACTGTATATTATAATTTTACGCTACAATGATTGCAGTATCTACATTTACCAAACTTTATACTTGTCATAGTTACCATAAAACGGCCATTACTTCGCTCAATGATCCAATAAATATCTATGTATTTGTTTAGCAAACTGACATAATATAACCCCTTTGGTTTTACGATGCAATGTATTAAATTTGATTTTGAAGCCTAAGCCACGTAATATTGATTTATTGAACTACCAACATGTAGGTATGTCGCAATGTACCTATATCACAACTTGAACAATTTGTAATCTATACATATAATAAAATTCTAACTAAGTCAAATCTGTACATTAAATATTTTTTGGGAAATCTAATTGAAATAGACATTATTATCGATACAGAGTCCGAATCTATAGTTTTTAGAATTTTTGTCTGTCTGTCTGTCTGTTACCGCATCACGAGAAAACACAGATTTTGATGAAATTTGGTATGATGATACCTGCTTATCCGGGTCAACATATAGGCTACTTTTTACCGCGGGAAAATATCTCATTTCTGAGAATAAATACAAAAACACAAAAACTGCATTTTAAGAGTATACTAATATGTAAAGCCTAAGAATTAGGTTTTTGGTCATCTGAACGCGGGCGGAGCCGCGGGTAATGCTAGTTCCTCGATATAAACCGACTCATACAGAATGGTCATAAAACCGTTTTTCATCTAAAGTAATTTTACTGAAAGAGACGACTAACACTTCTCTGGCCTCAATTGCTACTTATAATTATTAAAAATACAAAATAATTCAGGCACAGGCCGATAATAAACAATACAGAAAATTAAACTAGACCTAGACAAAGCTTGGTCTGGTTTCAGATGAGCCATGAAAGACAATTCCAACAAACGATAGCCGCAAGGCGAAAACGTGGCGGCCTTTTGTTGTTACACAAATAAGCCTCATTGTGTTCGAGGGCTCCCCTCATTACGGCGCGCTTCATTACTAGCTACGTGTCAATTTGTTACAGATACTGATCATTTCCCGACTAAAAAAAATCAAATTCTCGGATGCTGTTGAGGTTTACTGGCGGTGGCCGCGCAGTATTTGTAGGAAAAAATACAAGTATGAATGGGTGAAAGTGAAAATGTACGTGGACCTCCCTATTTAAAAACTCCAATAGGATCCCATCAGAAGCGACAAAAGCCACATAGAAACCAATAAATATAACCAATAAATTTATTTTATTAAATATATTTATAATATAATATAAAATTTATTGGTTTCTAAGTGGCTTTTGTCGAGTTTTTAAACAGGGTTATCACCTAAACATTGTGTTTGTTATACTTTACCTGTATGCTATTCGCTAGTCTTTGAGTCTTCCATTGTATAATCTAATATATAAAAATCTCGTATCACGGTGTTTGTTGTCGAAACGGCTCGACCGATTTTAATGATATTTTTTTTGTATATTTGGTAGGAATGAGAATAGGTCGTAAGGTATTTTTCACCCTCCTACCCCCACTCCCCATTTCTTAATCGCGAATTTAGTATTTTGTATATACAATATTATATATAAATACATACATAGATGTATAATATAAAGCCAAACAATTTTTTTTGTAGATTGAACGCATTGTAAAATAATAATACTAGTTAATACTTAATAGTATATGTACATAATATCCGCACATACAATATAAGCTACACCACTTAAACCGTCTCTGACCACTCATCTTGTTATTGTTAAAAATATCGTCTCCATTCACTAGAATCGCAAAGGCCAATGCCATCTTGAGAATATTTGAATATACAAGCTTAAAACCCAGATAAGAGTCCAAAAGGAACAATAAGCTCAAGATCTCTTTGTGTCGAATGACTTCCATAAACAATACCTAATAACAATTATTTTTTATCATTCATTAAAACACAAAGTCATTCTTGTCAAGCCTTATAGTGTAAAACAAACAACTTATAACAGAGTGCAAAAACATAGTGGACGACGGCGCACGTACTGTCCACTACCCATTAAACATTTAAGAAAATATTAGTCAGCTCTTACTGCCTTGGAATAAGGGTGATAATATGATGAAATATTAAAAGACGTTTCATATGTATACTTATGTATGTAATTATACAGGGAACGTGTCTGAAGGGTGGCTACAAATCTTTCAAAGGATAGTGGTTTCTGTGGTCGCGCGACATGCGGGTATTATCCGTCCTCTTTGAATATTAACTATTTTACTTGAACAAAGCTTCTATTTATATCTTGTAATAAGTGTTAATTAAATATTAATAATCTTGTACGTAATAATATATTATGAAGGTGTTTGCTATTTACTAAACAATTGTGTAAATTTTTGCTCCCTGTTAATTTGTGTTGAGCTTTAAATTAAGGTTCTAACGCGCTAAATTAGACCTTTTTTATTTGAAAAAGTTCCTAATTCTTTTGTTAAAATCAAAATATAAAATAACAAACAATAAAATCAAATATGGTGGTATTTCATTAAATAATCTAATAACAAAGTTAACTAAAACAGCGTATTATTAAAGAGCTCGAGAAAATAGGTTAGGTCCAACTACGAGTATGTGTAAATATCTGCAATGTTGTATTCACTAAATACAGTATGCGCCTTTAAATAGCTGTTATTGTTAAAATAAAATATAATTAATACTCTTATGTATACTTCGAAAGAAAAACTTATAAAAAATAAAATAAACTAGTTTTGTGATATTTTTTTTATATTTTTAATATGTAAAACAGTGTGCGCGCGGCGCGAGTCAGTCATAATCAGACCGCCATGAGGCCTTTTACCTTTATTATATTATTGCATTGTTGGCCTATATTATAATTTATAATAGCTATACTATTATATGATCTGTGATTATAGGTATTACTTATTTTAAATTTTAATCGAGAATATAGCTTTTGTGATGTATTTTTTCTTACGTTCATCTTGTAGTATCTGGGCGACCTAGCTTCGCTCGGAGTTTCTGGTCAAAAGTACAATTTAACACAGATCATATTATAATACTAATAATAGGTGTTAACTATTATGTGTGTAATAATTATTATAGTATTAGATGTGTGGTAATAAGTAATAACGGCCATCTATCGAATATTTCATTAGATACGATGTCACACATTGCAACAATAGCAAATTATTGTCTTAAAATATAAAAGTTAAAAGCTTTTAAAAAATAATAAAAAATTAAAAAAACCAACTGACATAATTTTTTTTGTAAAATTCACTACAATGAAACATTAAATTGTTTTACTAACATTCTCTAATAGTCAAAGATTATAGAAGTTACAAATTTTAAGTTACTACTGCCATCTATTAGAGATGCTTGAAACTACGATGTACACTACACATTCTTTGGACTTAATAGTTAGTAAAATATACAATAGATGGCGGTTATAGCTTTTCCTTAATAACGAGCTAGTATAGAAATATTTCAATAGAGGGCAGCACACATAGTCATTTTTTGCTTATACTATTTAGTTTTTTTAAAATATAATAACTTGTATATATAGTTTAAGAGAGTTGAATTCAATGAACGTATATATTAAGGTATCCGTTTTACTATCTTTGCTTATAAAGTCGTGAAATATCAAATAAATTACTATTTAGTACAGCCGTGAATAATCATAGCCTTCTAAACTTTGATTACAATTTAACCTCGTGTTCATTTTATATTTTAAACTATTGTTTGTTAAAATAAAATCTCGTAGTAAGTATTTATTATGGGAAATAAAACAAAAAGTAACATTGTCGTGATGGAATTTTATTTTTCTCTATATCAACGATCGATTACAAACTGAATAGAAGTAACCGCACATTGTTAAAATACATTTTACATGACATTGTATCATTTGCAACATATAGATTTAACGAAAAATATTTAATGATGGCCAATTTATTATACCTATTAGCTACAAACTTATTCACCAGAATATCAGGCTCAATATGAGCTATCACAATTCTCGACCAGTGGTCCATCCTACTGTTAATTGACAAGGTCAAGGCGAATTCAAAACTCCATTTTTATTATTTAACATACTTTTATTGATTTATAATAAGTTATAAATTTATATCACAGTAGGAAAGACCGGGCGAAAATCTGAAAATTACACTACCAAAGCATGCAACAACGCAACGTATCTTTTACAACTAGGTCGCTCGTGAATCTCAATTTAAAAAAAAATTGTTTAAAATGCCGGATACATCGAATCAATATAATTTATTATTATATATTTATTTTGTTGTTACGTTACATAGTATGTTAATTTGAACAATATTTTCAGTCTCACTCGCAACTCAAAATGCTTCATATAAAAATACTGCATCCAACAATGAGGTGTTCAATCACTTCCACAGGTTGTGTTAGTTTACGTGTGTAGAACTTCATGACACTATTTGATCGAAATTCACCTATAGAAACGATCACGTCTAGAAATAAATTAATCAACTACAAAATGCCCTAAATTAGTTAAAATTACATAGAAGGCATCAGTGTCTATGATAATTATTGGATTCTCGTCACTAGTATGCGCGACCGCATCTTCCTAGTTTCATACGTAACTTTAAATTAAAAATTAAACTAATTCATTGGACTATCACTCATGATTCAACATTCAAATATCAATAACGGAACAACACTCAAACACTTGTGTTCTAATACTTATTAATACATCTAGGCTTAAAATCACAATGAAGTGTTGAAGGAAAGAAGATTAAAATTGGTCAATAGAATTAATTAATTGGTCGAAAAGATATGTTCAAAGATAAATAGGCATTTCGCCTGTGCATAGATTGCTCTTTTAAATTTGATATTCGAGTATAGATATGATTTTAAAGTTATTACAATATGACTTTATAGGTTACAACCACAGAGCTTGGTTGAAGTATGTCTTACAATAGCATTGAAGGATCCCGCTTCGATGCTCTTTAGAAGGTAGCTAATACACATATATTTGTTTTAGTTGAGGTTTAAGCTCGGGCGGGATCGTGTACACTTCCTGTTCAGGCTTCTTTTTAACAAGTCTCTTCCAACGACCGCCAATGTTCTTGCGCAAACTGCGAAAACTCGCTCGCTCGTTACCGATAGGCTGCATCAAGTTGTCCTGAAATTAATAAATTATTCTATAAGTCTTTCATAGGTTTTAAAGAAATATGGAAATAGGGTTAGATTTTTTAGTTCTTATAATTTCAAAGTAGTCCATCTGGACTGTTAGGTCTGTTGACCCGAATTTAAAGTTTTCCGTTACGTGCCCAATGCAATAAGTGCATTTGTACCGACTAATAACAGACATCCAGTTACACAATGCTCTTAAGTTATTTTAAGTCTCGGTTGCCAACCAAACGTTGAAAGAAGGTCGTCCCGTTGAACATTAAATATTATTATTACTAGCAAGTGGTGTGCGGGAACTTTTGTAACTGTCGTTTCACTATATATATCCGTCAGACATTATCAAACATCTCTTGCTTGACATTGGACCGATATTTGAAAATATCAACTGCAAGTTTTGAAACTTCGTAGGTAATATGATAAATGTAACTAGGTAGCGTATCTATGTTGAGTATAATTATACTTTCTATATGTTATATATAGGAAACAAGTATTGCAAATAGAACGTTGAGGTTACGAATATAAAACAAGCCTTGAATTCAAAGACACATTAGCATTGTGTACTTCCTGATATACTAGTATGTATTTCGATATAGGTGATCATATATGAATTACAAACATTAGCTAATAGCGTTCTATGAATAAACAATATAATACGTAGAACTCGGGAACAGCAAGTAGACCGTGATATTAAGGTTACAGAATTTACGAGACTGCAATTTTAAGATTAAGAACACAACTCTTTGCATTAGCCTCCTTTGTTCGTTCAAGAAAGAAGGTCGAACGGTTACAACATGTTCGCCTTGCACAGCTTTCTACTCGGTAAGCGTGTCCCAACGTTTAAAATTTTGCACTTAGATTGTCGTTATACGTTCAACTCTCTCTCGTTTGGTGGGGGCTGAGTTAGAACAGTCACGTTTTCTATCCATTGTAACTTTTCTAAACTCCTGTATTATTATACGAGAAAGTATACACATGGCGCGCGTGATGTCTAAAGAAGATTTAGGTCAAGAATAACAAACAGATGCTACTTGTTCTCATTTCGATCAACCTTAAGTTTTGTTAATTCCACTAAATAATAATAAATGGATAAGCAAAACAATGTTCCTATTACCTATTGTTTTGTTTTTAAGTATAGGGAAAGTATATTGTTCTTACTAACCTGATCGTGAGGATAGACGTAAGGCGGAGGCAGCGGCGGTGGAAACTGCCACAAAGGCTGCTGACGGAAGGCAAGAGGCTCAGTCGTTGGTTGCGGCGCGGTCTGGAGCACTGCTTCGGCAGGGTGCACCGAGGCAGAGTGTTCCTCGCGCTTGCGCAGCTTGCTGTGGACGATACGAATCGCCATCATAGTTCCATTGTTCCCAACCATCGTAAAAAAAGGTCCTTCGACGCAAGAATAACTAACACTGGGTTGAATCACAGGTAACAAGTTCCAGTCGGGCAGTCACAACATATCCGTTTCACAGTTTTCACTCACAGCCGTATTGCGGTCTAATCGACGCGTTTAACTAATAACTAATTTAAATAAATTATCACAAATATTTTGTAAGTATAGTTAAGCTATTGCACATATCACTGCTCGTAGGAACGCGCGGTAGACCGCGTTACGCGAGCTTCTGCTGCGCGGTGACTAGAATGTTATCGTGAAGATTGGCCGGCAGGTGCCTAGCAAAGCGCTCGCTCGTGCCAAACGACCTCTACGGAGTACTCCATGCGTCTGAGTTGAAGTGGAGGGGCGCGTATGGCTTTTATATATTCGCGTCTGATGCGGCGCCAGTACGGCAAGGAGTGCGGGGGGCGGGGAAACGACGATGTGGCCGTTTTCCGTGAAAAACTGCGAACGGTTGGGGCTTGCGATACCAACCCACCATCGGTCGTTCTCATATTATCGTCACGGTAATGACGCATCCGATGGTTTAACCGTTGGTTAGTCCCGCTTGCCAGATTTTAAATTAGTATTGTGTTTTCAAAATTATTTTACAATGACGGCTGTGATTTGAAATCGGATAGTTTGAAACAAAATTAGTTATTCTTGCGTTAAATACATGATACGTAATATATATACATATGTATATGTATACCTAATGATTCTCCAACAATATATCTTTACTATCAGTTACAACTTAACAATATAACAGATAAGAATTTCCCTGAAAATCTAGTCAATGCAGTCATGACAACAAAAGTAAACAGTGAACATGGCCTCAATACCGTTGCTATAGTTATTGAGGCAGATAACAGCAGGCCCCTATTGATTTCGCTGATAATAACAATTTTAAGAGACACATTTCACCATCAGCCGAGTTCAAAGTCCATAAAATATAAATGCACAACCGCGTATACATTTAACGCACAGCTGGGTCTATGGATAAAGAAAGCGCAACGACTAAAAACATGGTGTCTCTGTCTAACAAATAAGTTAGTTACGTGCGTAAAAAGGTAGGTGCGTATTTAAAGCTTCCAACTTAAAAAGCTAAAGTAGGGCTACAGGGCAAGGGAGATCGGGAAGGTGCATTGCCCTGAGTCCGTTCCCAACATAAGTAAGACTTCGGGCTTTGACTCGAATGAGGGATAAAAAACACAGGTAGTAAGCCATTATAAGCTGTTACCCTTGAAGCGTCTAGAGGATATCGTCAATGTCAGTAAAGCCATAACTGATACCAGAGGCATCAATGACATATTTCATTTCTATTTACTAGTACTTGTGAGTACATGACACATAGTAATTAGCAACCATGGTTATGACCATAATTATGTATATTATAAGAAACATATACAAAAAAGTGAATGAAGTAAGGTTTGTTTGAGACTTTGTGATATTGCCAGAATACGGTAATTTTTCTGTGGCATATATCAATCACGATTTAAGAATAAAAATTTATTTAAAAAGCATCATAAACACAGTGTACATGTCATTTGAAATTTAATAAAGAAATCTCAAGGAATACGCAAGTAGGTATCATGCTTATATTTCATATACGAATATGTACATCTACGAAATTCTGTCCAGATGTACATATATTTCTTTATATTTTTCGAAAAATAACTTGTATTGTTATTACAAACATAAGGAAAAATATTATACATAGTTTAATGTTATGGATATATTTGTACAAATATTGTTATATCCATTGACGTCAATCGATGATGAGAGTTAATAGGGGGTACATTTTAATATGATCCACGAAGTATGAAGAGCTAGTTAAATAGAGTAATGTCTTCCATGATTGCGATCAATAGGCGTTTAATAGAAAATAATAATTGTAGAGAAAAATCTATATAATAACGATGAAATATTATGCATAAGTACTTAGATGTGCCCCATCAAGAAGCACAGCGGATGTAGATAACGATGCTTTCAAAAATAACAGTTTCGTCTCGAATTACTTTGCCGACTATTGACATCGTCTCCTTGAAAAGATAATTGTAATCATTTTGTATCTATTTGAAATTTAAGTAACACACAACTTATAAATGTTAATCGAATCTTTTTATATGTTCTTAAAATTGTTAGGCACTTTTTAAATATTATGTTATCATAATATGTATTAGTATTAAAATGTTATCATTTTAATGCGCAATGTTTCTGTCCGCCTTTTGATTAATTTATGTTTATTACAAAAATTAGTCTTCTTCAGAGGCCCGGTACGAGTGTTAGAATTAAAAATAGGCTAAATTCTTTCTGTCTATTCTTTAATTACCAAGGGATTTTTTTCAGTGTGATAAAAAGCAGCGTAATACTAGTGAAAATGGTATTACTTATGCCCACATTGTTTATTCACCAATTAAAGTCTCGTATATAAATCAGTTCTAATTTTCCAAAGATTCACAGTTTTCCAATTATATTCATAAGAATAATAAATATTTGTATCGAATATACGAAACCTTAATTTGATAATCTTAAATGACAATCTTTCAATGGAGAAGTTTCCAATTTCGTTAATTTTAAAATTAAAATTAATATTTTAATAATTTAAGTAAAGTATATATAAAATATCTCAAAAAATGAATAAGTTATGAAACTTTAAAGTTGCGCTTTTAAGAAAAAAATCGTGACGTCACACGACCTGACCGACCGAAATTTAAATTAATTTCTCAGTCGTTTATTGAAAGATTTCAAAAAAATCCCTTATTTATTAGTTTTGATCTATATTATAATTCCATTGCTTTATATATGATACTAGCAGAACCCGCGTCTAAGTTTGCCTTCAATCTATAAAAAAAAAAACTTTTTGGCTTTATATTATACAGCGACTCACCCTCGCTTTGCTCGGGTTGGTCGCTATGTTTTTATAATATTATTCATACAAAAAAACTAAAATCGCTATTAAAAAATGGGGGGTGGGAGAAGAAGGGTGAAAAATACTTTACGACTGGCTCTCATACCTACCAAATATACAAAAAAATAATTAATATCGATCGTGCAGTTTCGGTGCAGTGCGACCAAAAACACCGTGACACGAGATATTTATATACATATTAGACTAGCAACTCACCCTCGCTTCGTTCGGGTTCGTCCCTAGCTTGCTTCCCAATACAGACTTTCATCCCCATTTTCACCCCCTTAAGGCGGGATTTCCGGGATAAAAAGTATCCAAAGTCCTTCCCAGGGTCTCAAACTATCTTCTTACCAAATTTCATCTAAATCGGTTCAATAGATCTAGAGATTACCCCCTACGTTACAAACTCACAAACTTTACCTCTTTATAATATTAGTATAGATTGACAATATAATGAAACTTCTCCATTATCTCTTAACGCTATCAAATCAAAATACATATTAATAAAATCCAATTATGATAATAATATCACTATTTTTAATTACATATCTTATCAATAGCCTTGGTTGCTGCACACACGATGCAAACTAGTTCTTTGTAATGCTTTGCTTATAAGAAACTTGTCTCGAACTCGCGTACGTTGACAAATGATAAGTGTATGGACGGCAATTATAAGAATGGATCAACATTATGTTACGTTCAAGAGAAGTCAACCACCACGTTACTTTCTATCAAAAATATAGATACGGTTAAAATAATTCCATCTAATTTTTCGCTATACTGCTTTCGCCAAGACGATAACACCTATATGGCCAGAACACTGTAAAAACACTTTGAAATAAAATTATCTACCCAATTAAACTTAGGATTTATTTAAAGGTAAACTTTAAATTTAAAAAGTTCAGCGTAATAGCCTTGTATTTTAATAAATAATGTCAAGAGAAGTTAAATATAATAAAAACGGTAACACTATTCTTTTATTATCTGTATAATAAAATGTAAAATGTTTATAAATAGCCTTGAAATCCCGCAGGACTGGCGCTTTGTTCTCTCAATTCAGAAGTCGTTTAAATACAGAGCGTAATGAAACTATAGTGCTATATACTAGTAATGCAAAAAAATACAAACAAATCAACTTTAATGATAATATATTTTTTAACCTAACCAATTTTTCTAGATCCTAAAGCGATTTTGAAACGCCTTTGTATTACTATATCAATTCAAGATTGTATTTACATATACATATATTTTACCTACATGATAAAAAGTTTATTTATACCTTATTACTTTTTCACTTGCGAGTCACCAAATTGTCGGTGTCCTCTGTTCCATTCACCTGTAAGGTGTTTTTATATACAAGGTCACAATAATACTATTTTTATATATTTTAGTTTATTCGATCAATTCAATTTCCTTATTAGATATATGCTTTGTTAAATATCAATGAAAAACGAAGAGCCAAATATAAAAGTTAAAGTAATTTAGATTGAATAATTGCTATTCATTTGGGCACACTCCCAACACGTGGTCAAGAGCAGTCTGGACCATTCGCAATATTACGACCATGTGACATATGTAAATATTATTGTTTTTAAGTAGATGAATATTATAAGATATATATGTGTTTCACCTTCTCTCATCTCCTTAACATTTGCAAGGCATTGTACGAACGCTTCCGACCTTGTCAGCGCTTGCGGTCAACAACAGTTCCTGCTACAATCCTAAGTGGATATAGTTTTTGTTCGTATTTGATTGACTCATTCTAAAACCAATTGTTGGATTTTAAATAGAACCGTATAGTAGATAAAATTACCTATTGGGACGGTGCGGTAATTTCCAGCATAAAATAAGTAACAGACTATAAAGTATCGACTGCATCATGCAAGTGCAATGCGAACATTCACAATCAATTTGTATACTGCAAATAATTTACCTTGACCAGGTAGATTTCAACCTTGGTAGCAGTTGGTATGACAGAAAACTAGTTTCTCTGCATAAAGCGACATGCTCCACATGGTTGACAGTACCCAATCGATTAAATATGTATAGGTAAACCAAAGTATTTGAACAAAAGGATGAATGTTGCAAGTGTTACAATTACCCGCGCTCGAAGGGGTTGTGTTTGTTCCTTCCACAAAGGCAGACTATTGTCTTGTTGACAGATAGAACGATCAGGGAGTTGTGTTCCAGCACCACGCCGACTTCGCAGTTTTCCTCTTTACACTTCATCGCCTCGAAGGCGATCGGAGCGAAGAGCATCGAAAGGCGGACACAGGGTACAAACACACGATACACTCGGTTGGGCGGCTAGGCGCCAACGTTTGGCGCTCGACACGATTTGGCGCAGACTGCCGGTCAGCCGGCAGTTCCCTACGCCCGCGCCGGCACTACAGTGACTATTTGACTTCGGCACCACGCCTCGCTCAGCGCGCCGGTGGGTGGCGACTGAACCACGCACCTCTCCCGTTACCTTATTGCTATGTTATGGGGGCTCGACCTCGCAACGCGAAAGCCCTCCGATAACGTTTTGCATTGCCGCATTTAATACATATATATTCTACTTAATGGCATAACGAGTTTTGCTACCTTGTATGTTCGTGTTACTGATAATGTTATCAAGAAATTATTTTAACTTTTATTGTATTTCAATATTATAATATGTCTTTAATCCAAAGTATTTGTGAAATTTATATTACGAGATATTTTATTTAAATTATTTATTCTAAAATTAAAAATCTAAAATTATAGACAAGATAATGAACTGATGTTTACAGCGGACTGGTGAAACAAAAGGGGGCAACATCCTAAACGCGCCACTAAACTAAAAATATTGGCAGAAATGAAGAAAATATAAGCTTTTATGTACTGAGGTAGAAATAATATAATTTAACTTTATGGTAGAGTTGATGTATTTAAGGCATGTCATTAAAATTCGTCTTAATTGTTTAAATTATATCTCAAAATTATGTTGATAAATATTAATATTATAGTGATCTTGAGAACAGACGTATGCGTGTGAAATACATACATGCATAGCAAGAAAACGCCTATTGTCTTCAATAACAAATTAAAAATATTTATATTATTATTACATTGATATAGGTGTATGTATAATACGACTGTAATCTATATTCTATTAAAATACTTGTATGACCTATAATATAATTTATGAATATATTTTACTCATACCTTATGTTAAAACGACGTAGCTATTCTAGTTTCGCAACGTATTCTAGGGTCGTAAATCCAATTAAATAATACTATTAAGCTAATAATGAAAATAAATTATTACATTGTTCCTCTCTTCACAAGATAGCGCCTAATATATTTTTAATATTATTCAGCTACAGGGCATTTCAATCTTAACGAAAACTACTGTACTGTTGAGTGCTGGTAATATAAGCACGAGGGAAAGAACAAGTTAGAACGTATTATAATTAAAAATTTAAATCATTATCTATACTAATAATTATACTTAATTAAAATATACATGTAATAATAATATAAATGTTTTTTCTGAACGTATATTGCTATCATAGAATAAATAACTATTTTACAAGTAAAAATATTAAATTAATTTTGAATACTTAAAAAAAAATTTTTTATGATTAGTGCTAGTTCTTTGTACCACTCGTCTACTGCAACTTCAAGCAGAAAGAAATTAATAGTTTTGTTACTTTGATAAAAAACGAATTATGAATTTACATAACATAAGCATATCAAAATGGTCGTTCTAACTTGTTTAATTAGAATCATTTATAAACGGATTTCATGAATCAAATTCCAGAGAATATGGGTGTTCTTATTCGTATTACTACAATGCCTATTGCCTACTAAACTATAGGCAAATGTATTTATAGCTAAACAAAAACAAAACTATCCCTCGGGAACCGTATTTTTCTCCGGGATAAAAACCTGACCTATGTGCTATTCCAGAATATAATTTATCTCTGTGCCAAATTTCATCCAGATCCGTTCAGCCGTTCAGGCGTGAAATAGTAACAAACATCCATACATACTCACAATCTTTCACATTAATAATAATAACTTATATCTACACAGATAAATAAAATTGAAGTGTCTGTTTGTAAAGTCAAAATAACAGCTTTTTACTAAATGCATATGGATGTATGTACCTACATGGTACATATACCAAAACCACATTTTTTTACAATTTTTGTCCGTCTGTCTGTTTGTTCCGGCTAATCTCTGAAATGCTGGACCGATTTTGACGGGACTTTTTTCTGGCAGATAGCTGATGTAATAAGGAGTAACTTAGGCTACTTCTAAATTTAGGAAAAAAAATAGGGTCCCACGAAAAAAAATTAAAACTAATGAAAAATTTAATAATATTCGATTCAAATAGGGAAGTTCTATACATACCCTAGGGACGAACCCGAGCGAAGCGAGGGTGAGTCAATAGTTATATTATAATGCGGATATCTTCCTTACCAAAATTAGTAAAATTTTGATAATTGATTTTATTATAACAACATAGGTAACCTTTGAAAAATTATAATAGAATGTGTTAGGAATTTTATCCCTTGAAAACTGAAAAAGTTTGTATGGGAAATCACATTTTCCTAGTGTCAAATTAAAAATTTTGAAGGGCGAAGCCGTGGCCCGCCATTAATTGTTTATATGTATACAAATAACTCGGAGGCTAATCTCACTAAGATCAGTCATCAGCGCAAAAGTTATTACGTAGCATAAGTGCGTGTGCAAGCACAAGTAGGTACCTATTTATGTATATTATTTTAGAATCGTAGTCTAAAGAGGCGGTAACCCGATACGACCAGATACACTAAGCACAGGATTGAAAGCTTGTGTGCTTTCTGAGGCAATTGGGTATACTACTACCAATTTCTGCACAGCAAGTTGCAATTTAAGAATACCTTAGCCAAAAAACCCAAAGCGGGTTTCAAAGTTACGATCTCATGATCTTCAGCGGTACAACCACTAGACTAACGGGACATACAAACATACACATTATATCTGTGATGTAATTACAGAAAACTGTGTAATAAAAGCTTATTTATAGATAGATCTAACCGGTTAGTAACAACTTGCCATAGCAATGACATAAGGTATTTTAATTTAGCCACAGTATACCAGAATACCGTTGGGCGGTGATTTGCGATTTAAAATGGCGAACAAAAACATTTAAGATAAAATACGCAGCGTTTACTGCTATATACGATGTCCAGACGGCGAAATTGGCTCCAATCCAACACCCGGTAGACCTTGGTGGTGTATTGTTGTATAATATACTTTAATTACTCGTAATCTACTAGCGACCATGTCCACTAATGTTCAATTTTAATAACCTCCCACGTCATTGATGTGAGAACGTTTTACCCTTGGTCATGTTGGCCGCGAATTTTTAAAAGCTTCAACTTTTTCAGGAACAAATAGTTGTAATAAAATGAATTGTTTCATAGTTTTGATTGAAAGAGTCAAAAATCTGTTATTTAAAAGTACTCTGTCATATTATTTCATATAAAAGTTTAAGTTTATAGTTAGTTATTTAGAAAATTCACCTTAACACTTTAAAAATAATAATCTGTTCGAGATACCATATTTATGTTTTGAAAACTGCGTAACATCAACAAAACTTCGCACGTAGACAAGAAATAAATCAGAAAAATATATACATAATTTCGCTTTGTATAGCGAAATTATTTATAATTATGAACATGCTAACGAAAACGAAGTAATGAATATAATGGTTCCCAATTCCCATGTTACTAAAATGATGTACCTTTTTGCTACTATATACTATGTATGTGATGCCTGTAGCGTTCTATTTATTTGGCTAGCGTATATCTGACAAGTACTAAATCCTCATCGCAACGTAGATGTTTCTTTTAAAAATTAATACGTTTTCTATACATATAATAAAATTCTAACTAAGTCGAATCTGTACATTAAATATTTTTTGGAAAATCTTACTGAAATAGACATTATTATCGATACAGAGGCTGAATCTATAGTTTTTAGAATTTTGGTTTGTCGGTCTGTCTGTCTGCCTGTCTGTTACCACATCACAGAAAAACTACTGGAGGGATTTTAATGAAATTTGGTATAGTCATAACTGGTCAACCGGGTCAACATATAAGATACTTTTTACCGCGGTAAAATATCTCATTTCTGAGAAAAAATACAAAAACTGCAATGTAAGAGTAACCTAATATGTAAAACCTAAGAATTTGGTTTTTGGTCATCTGAACGCGGGCGGAGCCGCGGGCAATGCTAGTCATATATAAATCCATATATCAACAATGAGAATGCAAATTTCACTTAAAATAATCTTGGTGTTTTAATATTTAAATGAATCATCACCCAAAACATATGTATTATATACTTAAATAAAAATTTCAACTTACATTTTTCTCACGAGTCGTCGGACCGAACGTTTAATTATGCTTATTAACATCGTTGTAAAATAAAGCAGATTAATAACGAAACGTAAAGATATTTACAAAGTGTAAAACTACGAAATTATTTTCAATTGCAGAATATAATGTAATTATGTCTAGAATTAAACTAACGAGACTTCGAACATTGAACATGTAACGCAAACTGATTCCAAAAGCAAATTAACGAAATATATTGTGACTACCCTCAAAACAACCTATACAACAAATGTTCTACTTTACATTATCGAAGTACCTGATTTCTTTATTGTACTTTATTTTTGTCGAAACATTATTCAAATTTTATAGTGCTATGTTAGTTTCATTAATTTTAATTATTTTATTGTTTTGGAATTGGGAATATAATTTATTATTACTAGTTTTGTACGCCATAGAACTATTTTTTTTATATTTAATGAATAATAATGTTTTTACGGCAGTGGTAGCTCAATAATAACGTACTTGCTTGGGAAACAGAGTGAAGCGGGTTCAAATCCCGGGTCTCGCACCTCTGATATTTTTAGGTGCGAATCATTTCCGACATGGTTACCACTTGTCTTACGGTGAAGGAATACAGCGTGAAAAAACCTGCGTGTCCGAGAGAACCTAGCAAGTTTTCGAAAGACATGTGAAGTCCGCCAATCTGCACTTGGCCAGCGTGGTGGACTATAGCCTGATCCCCCGCGTTTAAAAAGAGCTGAATATAATAATGTTTTCAGTTGGTTTTAACATACGTCTGAACTAAGTATAGCTATGATTTTACATCATAATTTCAATGAGATGTAAAACAAGTCCTTCATTCAAATTTCAAAATATATTACTAAAGATAAATAAAAGTTTATT